TCTTGCTCTCAACTTTCTGGCTGTCTCCATTCAGGAGGTAAAACTTTTTTTTTCTTTGAGATGGAAAACTACTGCTCAAGGCTTTTGAAGTGCACTCAAGATTAATTTGAACTGGAACAAGACATTATATTGCTGTAGGCGGCAGTTTGTGACATAGAGCAGTTTTTCCCTGACAATAAATATTCATATATTTTCCTTACAGGCACCTTAGAGGGACACATTTCAACGTTTAATAACAGAGTTTGGTGACGCTGCTGTTTGCTGCTTGTGGGCAGTTGGACAATGATGCGATTGACTCTTAATAAATATGACATAATCATTTCAAATTTGTTCTAGCTTCTGTTTGGAATATAATATATTGACACCATTTCCAAGTGTAAATCTGTACGGCTGGCGTGGATTGGTTGTGTGTTGTGTGCTGCTGGTGTCTATGTGTAGGTGCCACTTACCTTGTACAATGAGGTAGACCTGTGAGGTCTTGGGCTGCTGCTTCGTCTGTATGGAGCAGGTGTACGACCCCTCATCATAAACATCCACCTATACACAATCACAAATACAATATTGTTTTCATTAGTTTGAAAATATCTTATCATATGCCTGGCAGAGCATCTTATCCTCATTTATCTTCCTACATGTTACTTTTTCAAGATCCTACTCTATAATTTTTATTTTGACAAACATTCACAATATTCTCGAAATAAATATTTATGATTCTTCAGTGAAACAACGTTATACAGGAAAGTAGTCGAATTATCTCAATCAACTTTACAATATAATATGTTTTGATTATTATTAATTAATTCAACTGTAAGAAGTCAAAGCTTATAGACATGAGTAATGAATGATCATCCTTACATAACAGATACGATCAGCATTTCAGCAGACCTCCCAGCATGGACAGTTTAGATGAGGTACTTAACCCTTTATGAAAACATGTATTATTTTTTAATAAGACTTGCTGAACTGATAATCAATGAAAACGATAACTTTAACATTCTGGGAGGATAATCTAATTTACTGTCTAGCAGAGGGTGCATACTGATACCAGTCTAACATTAGTTTATTTTCAAATGATTATGTATTGTTGTTAAAGCACAAAAAAGGGTTAAAATGAATAGATGAACATACAAAAAACAGATATGCTTATGAAGGTTATGTTTAATAATATTTAAATGTAATCCTAAGGAGGAGAAACAAATGGTTCTTTCCCATCTTTAAATGCAGCTGTTATTAAATCTAACGATGAAATCAAAGAATAAAAAAACCAAAACATTTTGGTCCGGTTTCTAGGTCAGTGTTACCTTCTGTATGCGCAGGCTGTACTCGAGCTGTCCTTTAGTCACCAGATCTACTCTGGGGTCCAGAGGCCACTTGTCCTGGCCGGCATAGATGATGTTGGATCGATTGAGCCAGGCCACTTTGGACACTTTGTCATCCACATAACACCTGCAGGAACAAGAAGAACAAGTAGTGTTAAGGGAAGTTAAGTGAAATAAAAGCCGGGTTTACTTAAAAAAAGAAAGAAAATTACGTGACATCCTTCATTTCATAATATGTAAACTCAAAATCAAAGAGGATGTATAATTGTGTAGGAACTTATCTGCATCACAGTTCAGCTATGTTGTGGTTTAAACTGCTGAGTGTATTCCCTCAGTTAAGGTTAGTTAAGGTTTACAGACAACTTGGCGCACCTCTCATTCAGAGGTCTCAAAACAAGAGCTATGTCTTAACCTGTGTCTCTCTTCCTTCTTTCTCTCTCTGATAAATACATCTCCTTTAACAGTCAGCATATTCCTGTGGATGAGGAAGGACACCAGTATGCTGTGGTTTACTCCTTGTTGCAGACAGTCAGAACATTACTCCAAGAAAGCTCGAGCTAAGACAACTCGCACAGGAGGCATGGTAGCCGGGCGTCTGCCTAATGAATAAATGTAAATGTGAGAAGACGTCGGAATCAATGAGAAGGGATATCAGCCGTAATGCTAGCCGACAGTGGATGCGCCTCACATGCAAATTCTGGTGACTCCGGTAGACCAGGCTGTGCACATGGCTGTGGAGTGTGTTGGGCCACAATGAAGCAGATTTGGGAGGCAGAGGAGTGAGGCTGTCTCTGGCAGGTGACCCCGGGTGATGCACACAAGTGGTGGTGCAGTCACCCCTGCCTGTTACCCAGTGGGAGCTGGATGTCAGGTTTGTTGAAGGCTTGTACTCACAGCTTGAATCCCTGTTGATGTTCCTTCCCTTTGTGTGGAGCCCAGATAACTCACTGTATTTATTGACTCGCTTTGACATCTACACTCTACTTTCTTCCCTCAGAAGTGAACAGCTTTAAAGGGATTTCCCTTTTGTTTCAGATATCTTCAAAGCTTTAATTAAAATACTTTATAGTTATATGCATCCTAATCTTATGCAGACACATTTTCCTATATTGATGGAGAGCTAGTCTTTATGAACAACAATAAAATAACGATAACAGTTTGGACTCCAATGGACACATCGGAAATACTAAAATGGAGCCTGACTTACATTTTTTAAATCTTAGATTTAACCTCTGCAAATCACCCATGAAGGGTAGGCCCCTTTAGTGTAATCCAGAATGTGTCCTTGTATTCAAGTCAAAACATCGCTGCTTTTAAAGAAACAAACAACATATTTTTACCAACATTGAAAATGAGTACAAATATACACAGAACATGATGCTAAAATTGTCCTGCTAGATTCACAGGGACCTGAAGGAGAGCGGAACTTTGCCAGGCTTCCATTTGTTAATATTTATTTTGGATTCAACACCATGTAGCCTGTCATCCTCGCCAACAAACTGGTCACTCAAACACACTGAAAACCAACACAAGCTCACTACAAGGGTGTTTTCCTATCCCTCCTCCTGTTCATGCTCTATGGTGACTGTGAAAGCATCCATCCAAACTGCCAACTCATTAAATGTGCTGACTACACAGCGCTTCTCTCAGGCTCTGAGCAGGAACACGGTTCTTCTCTATGATTTTAACGTTAAATGGTGCAACAATACAATGCTGGATTTCAATTTCACTCAGAGGTGGTTGGTGGTTGATTTCAGGATGCAGTCCAGACAAGGAGTTGGATGGTGTGAATATCTTGGAATCATCTTTGACATTTGAGCAAAACACAGAAGCCTTATCAAGAAAGCAAACCTGCATCCACATGCTTTCAAGAACTGAATTCCAAAAACCCTTCTACAGTTCTTCAGCGAGTACATTCCGTGTTTCTCCTTCACATGTTGGTTGCCATCACTCACTGTCATAACCAGAAACCGTCTCCATACCACAATTAACACCTGTTCCTAAAACTGGAGTGCACATTACGAAGCCTCATTACTAGCTACCACTGCGTGTGCCTCGCATGTTTTAATGTTGTGAGACTATGTGTGTCATCACAGCGTTAATTTGGCTCTCTGTTGAAAGATGCTGTCACCTCAACAGCGCGCAAGATTCACAGTCACGGAACTTAACAGGTTTGTAGTTCAGATCAAAATGTAGAGCCAGTGCAAAGGTGAGCATGGCAGTGGTGCATATAAGTAAACGGAAAGGTAATGAGGAAAGGACCTACAATTTATGCCATGGCCTGAATTGGTATTGCGGGTGGCCTCTAGGTCTGTGAGCAGCAGGGACCATGACATCATGTAGGATAACACCCGTAATCTCCACCCACAGATCCAGATGCCTTCTTTCGTGGTGTAGCCTACGCAGTTTCTCTAGAAATGGGCACAGAGCTCTGTTCATTCCATAAGACCTCCGCTGGACTAAGGATCTCAAGAACAATAATTAGCTCTATCTGGATCTGCCATGTAGTCTTTTCCCCTACTTATTATTTAATTTATCATTATTCTTTTTAATAACGACCTACTTACTTTTTAAATATAACTGTACTATCAGCTCAACACTGTTCCATACAGCTATTTGCTTATAATTGTCTATAATTACTCAAGCCTAAAATGGGTTTGCTTTCTTGGATTTATGACGTTTATTGGATAAGGTGAATTGGAAGAGCCAGATGACCGACATGTATTCAGTCCAGTCTATGACACTGTCCTGCAGTGTGGGACAAGGGGTCAACATTGCATTTGTATACACTTTCCCTCTAAACCAGTGTTTGCATATTTTCTTTATTGTAAGATCCCTCTTGTACTAAAAGGGTTTTAACATTACCAGATTGTTTGTTATATAATTGTACGATGGAGCTGTTTTTAATTAGATTCATAACAAATCAATTGCTCACTTTGTGTAAAAGTTGTAATGCTGGAATTGATCATTCCACAACTCATTAGTGACAAAGCCCTACATTTGTGAAACACAAAGTGACAAATTTAACAGCTTTTAGGGGATGGCAGTGAATCACTAAACTGTCCAGGCTGACTGTACGGCTGCATCTTGTTGGTTTTCAATGAGCTTGCTTCCTTTCTCCCCTTATTATCTCCTGTCTCCCACCGTGAAGTAAATGGGAGGAGGTTAAAAAACGAAAGCACGTAAGTGAAGGACAGAGAGAGGAGACGTGAACAGAATCATGACACCAGTTTCCTTTGGTTGTCTCTTTCACAAACATACATTATACTTAATAAAGCATTTTGATCGTTTACATTTCTTAATATTATGTATTAAACATAATTGCGTTGCTAGGCAACAGCATGGGTCCATTCTTACTTCCTGTCAGCTGATGCATTCGCTGACATCAGCAAATGGAACCTTCAGATTGATGACATCATCTTTGCCTTGATGCTTTAGAAGTTTGCAGGTCTCAGCTGTGACGGTGAATTCATCAGAGCATCAGTCAGAAGGCAGAAGGAACTGTTCCAGTTAGTGTCAGATCATTGCAGAAATAGGTTTTGTAGCAAGCTAACATTAGGTAGACTTGCACGTCTATTTTAACGAGATAATCTAAGTGAACTCCATTTTTGTGGCTTTAATTCAGTTGAACAATTATATTCAGTTTGCTTAACAACAGGTCATTTCATCACCGCAGTAGAGATGGAGATGAACAATAGAGATGAGATGGAAGTCAAGCTCGAGATTCTGCAAAAAGAAAATCAGGAAATCAAGTTGTTGCTGGAGCAGGAAAGGACTTTAAGGAATAAGCTTGAGATTGAAGGCACTAAGAAGAAGGAAGCGATGCTGAAAGCATATACAGAGAATGCAGCAGAGCTATCTGGGCAAAATGTGAATGTGAAAGCCCAGAAAATTGAGCACAACGTCTTGCGCGTCAACAATGAGGACCTGAACATGAAATACGGAATGCTCCAGAGGTCACACAAGAAGGTCGAAGCAGAGATGGCTGCCTTGAGAAAGGCAAACCAGGAACTCAAACAACTGAAAGAACCCTGTGTTGAAGAGAACGCTGTAGAGATAGCTTCTTTGCGTGAGAGAAACCAGGAACTCCAACAACAGAAGGAGCGTTGTCTTGAGGAGAAAACTGTCAAGATAGCTGCTTTGTGTGAGAGAAACCAGGAACTCCAACAACAGAAGGAGCGTTGTCTTGAGGAGAAATCTGTAGAGATAGCTGCTTTGTGTGAGAGAAACCAGGAACTCCATTTACAAAAGGAACGTTATGTTGAGGAGAAATCTGTAGAGATAGCTGCTTTGTGTGAGAGAAACCAGGAACTCCATTTACAAAAGGAACGTTATGTTGAGGAGAAGGATGCAGAGATAGCTGCTTTGCTGAAGGAAAACCAAACACTGAAACAAGAGAAGGAGCATTGTGTGGAGAAGGAGGCGAAGGTGGACAAGAAGGAAAATGAGGTGAAGGTGGAACCAGAAGTGAGGCACAATGTTAAAATGAATGCCCTGAAAATTGAGCAGAAAGTTTTGCGCGGAAACTATGAGGAACTGAACATGAAATATGAAAAGCTCCTCAAGATGCATCATAATGACAAAGCAGAGGATCTCAAACAACTGGAAGAACCCTGTGTTGAGGAGAAGGATGCAGAGATGGCTGCCTTGCAAAAGACAAACCAGGAACTCAAACAAGAGAAGTTGCGTTGTGTTGAGGTGAAAAATGCAGAGATAGTAGTTTTGCATGAGAGAAACCACGAACTGGAAGAACAGAAGGAACGTTTTGTTGAGGAGAAGGATGCAGAGATAGTCACTTTGCATGAGAGAAATCACGAACTGGAACAACAGAAGGAACGCTTTGTTGAGGAGAAGGATGCAGAGATAGTCACTTTGCATGAGAGAAATCACGAACTGGAACAACAGAAGGAACGTTTTGTTGAGGAGATGGATGCAGAGATAGTCTCTTTGCATGAGAGAAATCACGAACTGGAACAACAGAAGGAACGCTTTGTTGAGGAGAAGGATTCAGAGATAGTCACTTTGCATGAGATAAACCACAAACTGGAAGAACAGAAGGAACGTTTTGTTGAGGAGAAGGATGCAGAGATAGTCACTTTGCATGAGAGAAACCACGAACTGGAACAACAGAAGGAACGCTTTGTTGAGGAGAAGGATTCAGAGATAGTCACTTTGCATGAGAGAAATCACGAACTGGAACAACAGAAGGAACGCATTTTTGTTGAGAAGGATTCAGAGATAATGAATTTGCTTGAGAGAATCCGTGAACTCCAACAAGTGAAAGAACGTTGTGTTCAGGAGATAGCCGCCTTGAAAACACCATGGTGGAGAAGATTCATTAATTTCCTTTCTAGTATCGTCCCAGATGTCCCCGACGACTACCAAGAAGGCAGCCTTGACAATGAAACTTTAGAAAACATGATAAACAACAACAGATTTTAGTAAGACATAAAAACATTTCCAGAACAGACTAAAGCTCAAAATGAGTGAGCAATAACATATAATAACATTCAGTCAGGATATATATTTAAACAGTTAACATTTATTAGATCAATTTATTAAACATCAACAAAGGTTCCAGAAGATACTTAAGCGGCTAGAGTATCATTAGTATAGTATAGTAGTAGTAGTAATAGTAGTAGTAATAGTATAGTTTTTTTTAGGCTAGAGTCTAGCCTCTAGGGGCAAAACAATTACCTTCATTTTAAAATTCCTTCGCTTCTAGCACTCCTAAAAAACAGGAAAAGGGTAGCTAAATAAAGATCTGGTTAAATTTAAAAGGTCACCCAGAACATACTGTAGGCGATTTCAAGCCATTACAGTTAAAAAAAAAACCTGATCCATTACGCATACAAATAAATCCAGTAGAGACTTAAGCGGCTAGAGTATCGTTAGTATAGTATAGTAGTAGTAATAGTAGTAGTAGTAGTAGTAATAGTATAGTTTTTTTTAGGCTAGAGTCTAGCCTCTAGGGGCAAAACAATTACCTTCATTTTAAAATTCCTTCGCTTCTAGCACTCCTAAAAAACAGGAAAAGGGTAGCTAAATAAAGATCTGGTTAAATTTAAAAGGTCACCCAGAACATACTGTAGGCGATTTCAAGCCATTACAGTTAAAAAAAAAACCCTGATCCATTACGCATACAAATAAATCCAGTAGAGACTTAAGCGGCTAGAGCAGGGGTGGCCAACCCGCGGCTCTCGAGCCGCATGCGGCTCTTTGCCTAGTTTCATGCGGCTCTTCAGTTCATATCGAATTTTATATGTGTGAGTTTGGGGGAGAGACACTGACTCCTGACTAGTGTTGCACGGTGTACCAAATACAATACTTGAAAGGTACCACAATACCCTGCCGTTAAAAACGGTACGATTCCTCCGTTTCATTAGTAACGGTACTTTAAGAATGACGGAGAAAAGTACTCCGGTGAGAAAGCGCTGTTTAATAAGAGCCGTGTGTGTTCAGCGCTCTGCTTCCACTCCCTGCACTGCAGCCGTGCCTGCAGCCCCTCCCTTCTCAAGCACGCTCTAAGTCCCTCCCCTCTCTCGTGCATGCGCTAGCTGCCAGAGCATGTGAGAAAACGAGAAGCATGGCTGCAAGTGGGAGTGCAACTGCCGCTGCGCCTCGGCCTGTCTGTAAGACATGTATTAATTTTATTTAATACGAATTCTTGTCATTTATTTTATTTATTGTTCTCATTGTTTAAAAGTTTGTGTTATGGTTCTGGTGTGAAATAAAGCACAATAATTACATTTAAGACTGTTTCCCTTTTTTTAAGAAAAGTATCGAAAAAGAATCGGAATCGCAATTCTTGACTTGGTATCGAAACCAAAATGTTGGTACCGTGACAACACTACTCCTCAGAGTTAAACCTGATATTTAGTAGGTCTGTTAAGTATCGAATGCTGATAATTCTGACGTAATTTGGCCGGTCAAAGTTGTTTGGGCTCGGATAAAATCGCTCCGTTACTTTCGTCCCGTGTTACTTTCGTCCCGGCTCTCCCTACGTGTGTATGTGTGGTGTCAGGTGTCAGTATGAGAGGATGCCAGCGCGTCTAATTTGGATGTGGCCCAAGAGCCAATCACAATAATACCTGCGATGCAGTGAACCAATCACCTTTGAGGGGGGGAAAACCTATCGTTGATTAAACATTATCCAGTGTTTCCCCTACCATTGTCTTGGAGGGGCGCTGCACCCCGCCAACGGAGCCCCGCGCACCCCCTGAAATTCAAGGTGTTTAAAAAATATATATAATTTTTTTTTTTTAAATATATTATATAGCACCAAATTGCAAATAATCTATAACTACTGTCACTTTTCACATTGAACATGAGCTCTTTTATTAAATAAACTAAACGCTTTCATTTCAAGTTGTGAGTTTAGTGTTTTTGACCCTAAGAAACACTGATGCATTAATCAATAACAATAATCCACAGCTCCTCTCTCTGCTCCAGAGGATTTAAAAAATATATATCCCAATGCCCAAGCCCGCCTTAACCTGCCATCAGGCCCTGGGGCTTTTTTATTTTTTTTTGGTTTTGTAGGCCCCCTATTTAAACAACAAATCAAAGTCATTTATAGCCTCGGCAGGCTCTGTGATCGCACTTCTCCACTCTGCCACGCGCGCCTGGTCCTCTCCTCCAGATGAGTGACGTATCGGGCCTCCCTCATGTATCTGTCCGGTTGCCGTTGGCTCCCCTCCACGTAGCAAGTCCTCGTCACTCAATCACTCGCAATTTCAATAAATCACATGTGAAACATATTCTCATTCTGATTGGCTGTTAGGTGGTGCCCACTGACTGTTTCGGAGTCATCATTTTTGAGAAAAATCTCTGGAATCCATCGATCTGATTGATTAGCGGAGCAAATTATCAAAATACTACGGAGGGAAGATATTTTCGTTTGGATTACTGGTCTGGGGGAAGCTCACAAGTGTGTGTGTGTGTGTGTGTTTGTGTATTTTTGCGTTTGTGTGTATTGTGTTTGTTTCCCGGGGAAAACACTCACGAGAAACACCGGCTGTTGTCATGCCTGCTGTTAGTATTATGCCGAAGCTTCAAAGTTGTATTTATCATCTGAATTTGCCGAAACAAGTTTAATATTCTGAAAGCCAAGACTTTGTTTATTTGAAACCAGATGAAAACAAACTGTCACGGACCCTGCCGTGTTATCTAAGATTACTATACGCCTTACATTCATAATTTCAGCGGAGGGAGGGGAACAGCAGAACAGCAGAGTGGCGAGGGAGAGCTGTCTTCTTCCCTTTACAAGCTTCAAAAATGTATTTATCGTGTGATTTTGGAAATAAAAGTTTAATATTCTGAAAGCCAAGACTTTGTTTATTTAAAAAAAAATTAAAAACATCCGAAATAAAAAAAAAATTGGCTCATGATAGGCCCCTGATCTCCGTAGGCCCCTGGGCTTCAGCCCAGGTCAGCCCGTGCATTAAGGCGGCCCTGCCAATGCCACAAAAATGCATCAGTGACGTGGTTGAAATCTTGTCTCCAGAAAACAAAAAACTGAAACAAGCGGTATCAGTGTGTTTGATGTGGCTCTTTGCAGTAACATAGAAAAAATGTGGCTCTTAACCTCTGACTGGTTGGCCAACCCTGGGCTAGAGTATCGTTAGTATAGTATAGTAATAGTAGTAGTAGTAGTAATAGTATAGTTTTTTTTAGGCTAGAGTCTAGCCTCTAGGGGCAAAACAATTACCTTCATTTTAAAATTCCTTCGCTTCTAGCACTCCTAAAAAACAGGAAAAGGGTAGCAAAATAAAGATCTGGTTAAATTTAAAAGGTCACCCAAAACATACTGTAGGCGATTTCAAGCCATTACAGTTAAAAAAAAACCCTGATCCATTACGCATACACATAAATCCAGTAGAGACTTAAACTCACAGTGATTGTGCAGTATTGCCCTCTAGAGAAGAACAACATCTAGTTAGATGCAGTCTTTACATCCATTACAAAATGTCATCTGTGGAAGCCGTGGCGCTGTAAAAAGCACGACCAATCATCTGAGCCGGCCCGGCAAAAATAACTGGATGGCCTACCTGCCTGTCAGCCTTCCATCTGTGCACAAACTTATCTTGTGCCCTCATTGGTCATGTGCGCGTTCGTGTGTGTTGGAGGAGGGGCTCTGTGAGGAAGTGGCAGATTTTTTCCGGCTGTGTATTTTCAAATTCTAGCGCATTCTAGCTGGTTTCTCCAAAATTACCTACCCCACCTTTAACAGCTATTAGATCTGGTTAAAAAAAAAAAAAGATTCGTTAAATATAGAAATAGTTTCCAGAAGAGTCTCAGTGTGATGTGCAGTTTTAGCCACTAGGGGCAAAAAAATAACCTTAATTTAAAAAAAAACTAAAACAATTCCTTAGCTTCTATCACCCCTAAATAACAGGAACATTTCAGGATATATATTTAAACAGTTAACATTTATTAGATCTGTTTAAACATTAACCTGTTAAGCAACATTTTCACAAAACTGTGTCTCAGGGCTTCTTAACATTTGACAACCTATTAATGTGTCATACCCACTTAACGGGAAGACACTCAGCTAACTGACGATATGAACCATTTCTACCGAAACAAAACACAACTCTAACACCAAGCGTATGAATTAGCACTAAGCGAAAGAGTGCTAACGCACTTAACTCACGGTAGAAATATGTTATACTTCATCGAATCTGCACAAACATATCATAAGCTGAGATTCCACAGATTCCAATGATATAAGTATCATCACTGTGTATGAGAGCTTCCGGTTTTGGACATGCTGGCTGCGCATCACTCTCATTCACCAATGGTAATGTTTAGATGGATTTAGGAACTTCCTCTCGATTCTATTGGCTCTAACGGTTCAAAAGAGGTGTCAATCACCAACATCGACCAATGGGTTCCAGAGATATGGCAAATACACCCAAATGACCCCATACTGTAGGTGGGTTTTCTTTTTCTAAATCTCTCTAAAAAGGTCAAATTTCACTTGTTTTGCATCAATCTTGATACAGGGTACTTAT